TTTGTTTTTTTTTTTCTCAAAGAATTATAACCCAACATATGCTTTCATTTAATACATGATTTAATAAGAAAGAGGTAAACGATATCATAGGGATATTTAAACTCCAAAACAAACTGACAATGACATGGCAAAACACGAAGAACGATGAACAGACAATTAACAGTATACAAAACACAACATAGAAAATTAAAGACTGAGCAACACCAACCCCACCAAAAAGTGGGGGTGATCTAAGGTGCTATCAAATCCTGCTCTACATGGAGCTGCCGTCGTGTTGCTCATGAAAGTTTAAACCCGGTGAGAAGTCTATTTCTGTAGGTCACGTTCGAGAACAAGTGGACGGGATTGTGGCTACGACAATTTAGCACAATAACTCAGCTGTAACTGAAGCATGAATGTCATTTCTATATTAGCAAGTTGATACTTCGAGTTAGTTTTCATCATTCTTTGACACGGTATTAATGGGTATTGTTTTATATAGATCTGTGTTCTTCGGATAATATAATGTAAATTCAGGAATTATATAGCTTTATTTGTTTGTAACTTTTTAACCAAAGTCAATAATTAATCTCGCAAGTTGATCCATTTATAAGCAGATTTATTTTGTGTAAACTGAATGTTTTGTTCTCAATAGTGACTTCATATTATTGTATATAATCCGGAACTTCGTTGTCTTTAGTTATCTAAATGGTTTTTTTTTTCGTTATGATTTTGGAATCTGAAGCATTTTTTTAATGATAGTTGGCTTTTGTTGATGATAGTATGGCGACCTCTATATATCATTTAACATTTGTTTCTTCGATTACTGTTTTATTTCCGTTTACCCAATATCTCCACATATCTGTTCCGGACCAATCGTGTACTGTAAATTCAGAAATTATTGCGAGGTTTTTATTAATGCGAATAATGCGACTGCGTGAGTATCGCAGTGATAAGAACTAGCATTCTGATATCTGATACATATATTTGTATGCATATTTTCCTAAAATCGCAATAATTAACATCGTTTTTTGGTCCATTCTTCAAATATCACAATAATATATGCACGCAATAATTTCTCAATTTACAGTATATATATTCGGACCATATGAGTATATAGGTGTCAGACTACCAATTCACCTACTCCAATTTAGAACTTACGTAAAAGTATCCCTTCCTTGACAAAAAATAGTGCTTTTGGTGTCATTGTTTACTTAAACTAACTAGTTTACTTAAACTTACAAACAAATTAGCAGAAATGAAACTTTTGGTGAAAGAGAAAAAAAAGCCAAAATTTACTTGTCCGTGATTTGCGTTAAAGTTGAGGATTAATGCGCTCCATAGTATACCTATTTAAGATTTCCAGAAAACCAGGGATTAATTTTAGTAGCCATTGACATCCGAACGGTCGTGTTTCACTACAAGACTTTAAATATTGGTTGAAAATTGGCATATAGAAAGGTGACACATGTACAATTCATGAAAAAAGCAGAATAACAAAAATATCGAACTCCAAGGAAAATTTGAAGCGAAAAGTCTCTTATCAAACAGCAAAATCAAAAGCTTAACCACTTCAAATGAATGAAAAACAAATGTCATATTCCTGACTTGGTACAGGCATTTCATTAAGTAGAAAATGGTGGATTAAAACCTGGTTTTTACGAAGTTAAACTTAAGGTAAAATATTTAGAATGCTGTTAAATTTGAAAAAATTGGTTGATTGTATAGGAGTTGTGTGTTGTTGGTCTGACACAATACTCGTGCGGTTATTTACGGGCCGGATCATATTAGAGTTTTCATCATATAAGTATTTTTCGAATATGTATAGGAAACGCTTACCAATCTATCCTCGTGTCTCCTACTTGTGTTCTATATGTTTAGCACGAATGTTCATAAAATAAAAGTTAAAAATATAGCTTAAAAGGATATAATATGCAACGGCAGCAAGTAAAAAACAAAACAAACATGTTTTGGAAAAAGATTTATTTCCGAAAACTGCACTTGGTTTTTAGGTTAAAAAAATCAGCGAAAAATAAACTGTAGATAATTTTAGCAGGAGCATACAGCTCGTTCTCGAAACCCAAAACAATACAAGTGTATCTATTTTCTTGCATTCGCTAGTCATTGTAGTATCAATTAAAAGCGTCTTTATCCTGTCAACGTCTTTGTCCGTTGGTACATTTGTAAAACAATTGATCTTTTGTTTAACAGAAGTTTAACAATGTCTATTTGAATATAACGAAACTATAAATGATTTTTTATACAAGTGAGAGGTTTAGCTGGCTATAAAACCAGGTTTAACCCATCATTTCCTTCAGAAATGCCTGTATTAAGTCTGGAATATGATAGCCGTTTTCCATTGCGTTCCGTTGGTTGATTTTCTCTTGTTTTATGATTTCCTCCTTTTTTAATGTAACTTGGAGTTGGGTATTTTTGTTAATACTTTTTAGTTGCGTAAAAATGATTACAATATCATGGTATATGATAAATTTTCACATGTCAACTGGAAGAGTTACCATATAAATAAAATGTACAGTATTAAAGACTAAACGTTACAACCTTCATCGTGTTAATTACCTGGACCATACGCGTACGGTCGGACCATACAAGTGTATACGCATATGGTCATAACAAAACGTAAATAATCCAAATAATCATGTGATCTGGAACATTTGCATGACAAATATGCACCATTGACCATAGACATTCTAAATAGGAATACTAGAAAGCGGGGGAATCATGAAAATGTAATTTAAAGCCTAGGAGCACAAAGTCCATAGCTGTATATCCTTCTTTTCTTCTACGAACGTACACCTACTTTTGAAGCATTCTTGGTTTTTATTGAAATTAATATTACCAATACTTACAATCGTTGTTGAATTGCGTAGTGTATACGGACGACTTTACTTATTTTGGTTATACTTTAGACTTTTTGGTTGTTTTTTTTTTTTTTTACACATTTTAGATATATCATATGTTTAATATCTAGTGTTTGATATTTTTGGATATCAGACAGTAAATGTGATATGGATATGGAGTCTGTTTTGTGCTAATCAACAAAGAATAAATTCCCAGAATGACATGTCACTGAATTCGGACACATTATTTTCACTCCGAGAGGAGCAGACTTTGCTCGTATTCCTTACTCTTACGAGCCAAAATATTAAGTTGTAGTTAATAATGATGCAGCAGACGAACACTTTGGAAGAAAATGCTATGAAATAGTATATTTTAAAATCCGACAAAAAAGTAAACTCTACGGTCGTGTATGTTTCTTTCGGTCAAGGTTTAGTTTGTCTTGTGACTTGTTGTTGTTAGCCCCGTGGTATCTTCTCTCTTTTATTTTACAGAAATTTAACTACTATGAAGCTAGCCCTGGCTAAAGAATAAAAACAAATAATAAGAGAGATGAAAAAACTGACAAAAATTGTGGTATATTTATTGTATATTGTATCAGTATTATGAAGGTTTTCAATATTGCGGCAGTAATACAGTGTAATATTGCATAAGTTGGATACAACAAAAGCTTAATTGTAGACAGCAAAAAAGATGTCAGGCCTAGACAAATGTTCAATAATGCATAATCAGTACAATCAAAACCGCATGGTTAATTTGAATTGTGTCAATGTAAACACAGTCATCCATTGTGAAGTAAAGTAAATGTACACAGAAGAAGATTTGCGGTCAACTATACATTAATAAGATCGAAAACTAAACTCGAAACCAAAAAAAAAACCATATAGTTCTAGAAATCATCAAACGGTCTTCATTAATAGACATTTCGATATATATGCTCATCTTTTTTTTTCTAGAGTTCAATTAATTTTTACATTTTTATATTTACAAATATCGGTGTACGCAAGAAAAGATATCAAAGAATCAATCAAAAGTCAAAATAAAAAGACATATAAACACTGGTAAGGACAAAAGATAGGAAAAACAAACGTATTTATTAAAAAATATATACATAAAACTAAAAACAATGAGCATCAATGAACCCAACGATACACTGTTGATGTACTTTTCAAAAGAATATTTTTACCAGCAAAGAAATTGTGCACACAATATTTCATGTTTTCCAGTGTTGAACAATATACACACTATAGGAAACAGTATTTGGCCCCTTGAATTTCTAAAATTATGTAAAATCATACGATCTTTTGAAAGTCTGTGTGATTGTTTTTCTTAACATTTGGTATTGCCTAGTTCCTTCGACTCATGACTTGAATGTCGTATGATATTTTTGCCCTCTTTTTTCTATTTTTCTATCATGTCAAACTGTTACGGTGAACTGTTAACGCATCTTATAAATTGAATATTATAATACAGTCTGGTCATTTAGCAATAGCCTTTCCAAAACAGATACAGTATTTGCACATTTAAGCCTTTGAATGAGATAATTTGATCAAAACAAAATTGGGGAAGGTTGTTATTCATTTTAAGATATAAAGAAAAAGTTAGAGAAATAAAGATAATTTTGAACGAGTTTATGTCTGTGTTTAAACTCCGCCAGCTCACTCACAATAAGTCCAAAGAACTTCATGTTAAGTGTTTGAGTGATAGGCTGCGTTTAAACATTGATAAAGCCTTCCAAATGGAAATAACTGTTTCAAATAGCATCCTTCAAATGTTCACAAAATATGCTTCTGTCAGATTTCAGTAAAAATTTATTTGAATTTTGTCTTTTGATTATTTCGATAGGTCTTCACACTTCTTGCAAATAAGGGAAAAATTGGAAAAATTACCTCATCAAAACATGAACAACAACCTTACCAAAAAACACACGTACAAAATGTAATTAAAAGGCTGGGTATATATACACACCAATAAACTCCGGAAAGGTTAACTATAACATAATTGAACAATAATTCAAATAAAAGGCATTAAAGAGCATGTCTTATTCCGGATAAAACATTTCCCATATACCTACAAAAAATGACTTCGACGATAGATTTAGGCTTAAAACACAACATTGACATTATAATAATTTGTCGATCTTATGACAAAGACAGAATATTGTTTTAATCATTAAGAATAAAGCAGCTGATATACTTTATGCTATAAGTATTTCACATAGGAACATGTTGTTATGTTGACATTTGTGATAATCCAGCTCACTTTGTTTTATCATACCACATGGTTTATTAGCATTAGCGCTACTGAGGCTACCAAAAATGCCGTCTAATTTTGTAAAATCAACGCCATTCATCCAATGTTTATCTTTGAGACCTATCCATACTTTTTCCGATCCAATGTCAGCCGCTGAAAACAAATAATAAATAATAAAAACTTCTTTCCAATCGAATTCATCACATATATATTAATTTAATGTACATTTATAGCTTTATCTAGATAATTATGGACACTATTAACACAGCTAGTTGGAACGAGAGAAAAAAAAATGGCTCAACTGTCACGTTTGTGAAAGACAGAAATATGATAAATTTAGAAAATTGATAAATCAGTTTCGAAGTGGCATATGAAATCAACAAATAAAGTACTATGAAATGAGATAGCCAAAACATCTGAGAACCATGAGCCTGTCATCCGCTTTATTTCAATATAAAGATAGGGTATCTTTATCCAAGTTGTCAGTGCATCGTCTCCGTCAAATTCTATATCGAGTATTTCTTTAATATTTCGTTGATAACCTCAGAAAATTATTTAGAAACTAAGTGTTCAACTTCCTTTGCGCAGAGGCTGTAACAAAAAGTAAAATAACAAAAATACCAAACTCCCGAAAAAAATTCCAAACAGAAAGTCCCTAAGCAAATGGCAAAACTAAAAGCTCAAACACATCAAACGAAAGTTCAACAACTGTCACATTCCCTGACAAATGAGCTAACATGGTTATTTCAACTCAACGAACCCATAAATTACATCAGAGACATGAAAAGAAAAATATCATTAAAATTAACAACGTATAAAGAGCGAATTTTCTGCGTCCGAATGGTACCCTGTTACTTATTCGCTACCTATTGGTTCCTTATTCGCTACTGATAGGTTCATTTTTAGCTTTGTATACGTTGTCCCTTTTTATACGTAGTCCCCTAGTATATTAGTTATTGGTTCGTGGAGGTGAAATAACTAATTCGGCGCGTATGTAGCATTCTCTGCGCACGACAGATACCCTGTTACTTGTTCGCTACTTATTCGTTCCTTATTTGTTTTTTAATCGTTGCATCTTTTAGAAATTGTTTTTTCTGTTATGTTCTTGTCTCTGGTGTTAGTTATTGGTTCGTGGAGGTGAAATTAACCTGTTACCAGATTTTGTGCCACACGACAGTCCTTGTTATATTCTATTTTAGTATCAGATTCATGTGATGTCTATGATTCCCATGTAATACAAATAAATCGTACGTAAAGTGATCATGATAAAACTATCATATTCTTGAATAATCTCACTAGGCCAAAAAATACTACTACTTATAAAAGAATGATTTGGGACTATCGAAATGCCGATTTTGACAAATGGAACGAGCTCATTGCTACTTTTGATTGGGAATAGGTAATGTATGCTGAAAATATAACAATAAGGAGATATTATGGATCAAAATTGTAAAAATTTAACAAATAAATTTCTTGAATATATTAATGACTGTATCGCACAAAAAGAAGTAACAATACGACCAAATGATAAAATCTGGTTTAATTCTAACCTACGAAGAGCAATACGAAAACGTGATAGACTACACAAACAAGCTCGTAGATCCAATAGTATTCCTGATTTAAAAAGGTATAAAAAGCAAAGAAATCATGGGAATAATTTAAAACGATATACAAAAGACCAATTCTACTTAAACGCAAATAATTTGTTGGATGAGTTCGTTTGTGGAAATTCTAAATCGTATTGGTCCGTAATAAAAAAAAAATGGTAAAGACATCGGGTAATTCTACTCATATTACTCAATGAAAATGACGAATTGGTCACTTAAAATTACGATTAATCATGCCTTTTAAATAATTATTTTGTTCCATAGCTGCTGTGTGTAATAATAATAGTAGACCTCCAGAATTTCTGGCTAGATCAAATTCAACAATAATATTTTTCATATAACCTCAGATCAAGTACTTGATATTTTGTAGACTTTAGAATTGGAAAACAGTTCAGGTAATGAAGCTATTAGTCATCAAATGTTAAAAAAAAGTCATACTGTCAGTGTACCTTTATCATTGTTATATAATTTGTCATTCGAAAAAGCAGAGTTTCCTAATCAGTGGAAAACAGCTATTGTCATGCCGCTTTTCAAAACCGGACACAAATCAATGATTACCAATTATAGACCAATCTCTTTATTATCAGCAGTGGGCAAAGTATTTGAAAGAATTGTATTTAAAAATGTATTTAATCACTTAATAGCAAACAATTTAATATACAAATTCCAGTCATATGTTATTCAAGGTCATTCTACCGTTCACCAGCTAATAGAAATTTACTATAGGATATGTACAAAACTGTACAAATGGTTTGAAAGTTATATTTAAAATAGAAAACAAAGCGTTTTTGTTTCAAGTTCATATTCGCCTTTAGAGAATACTGATCCAGGAGTTCCACAAGGCTCTCTATTAGGTCCCCTACTATTCCTGATTTATGTAAATGACATAGCTGATAATTTTGTAAGTCTAACTCAATTGTTTGCTGATGACACATCCCTTTTTTATTCCTGTAATAGCCCTTACACAATAGAGGACGTCTAAACAGCGATTTAGAACAAATCTCAACATTGTCTTAAGATTGGTTAATTGATTTTAATCAGACAAAGGCTATGATATTCTCCTGTAATACCTCCTCAGATAATATTGAATAGAATTTCAAAATCAGGCTGTAGAATTTGTCTTCTGTCATAAACACTTAGAAATTAATTTTGATACCAATGATAAATTCCATACACATATAGAAAACATCTGCTCTTTGGTCGGGTTGTTGTCTCTTTGACATATTCCCCATTTCCATTCTCAATATTATAATAAATTGTGCAGCACAAGATTAATCATTCTTAAAAAAATGAAATATGTATTGAATAGAAATTATCTTGTTCGTATATAATTAACATTTATAAGACCAATTATGGAATATGCATGTTAGTTATGGGATGGTTGTAATCAACACGATTCTGACAATATAGAACATGTTCAGTTGGAAGCAGGAAGAATAGTAGCTGGGTTGCCCGTGTTTGCTAGTCGGGAAGCTATATATTTTGAAACAGGCTGGCAATTGCTAGTGGACAGAAAAAGTCCAGAAAGCTCAATATGTTCTATTCTTTACATAATGGGACTGCCCTTGATTATATCTGCGATTTAATGCCCCCACTTGTTGGTCAAATATCAAATTATGATTTGCGAAACAGTAATAATCATGTAGTACCCCGTTAGGGACTAGATATCAGCAGACATGCAATCCTTTTTTCCATCTACTACTATTGAATGGAAAAGCCTACACCCCGACATACGTACTTCTTGAAATATAAATATATTCAAACGAAAGATGAAATCTAAATTAATACAGCCACCCTCATACTTTAGTTGTGTTGATAGAAAACTTAATATTATTCATACACGTTTGAGAAATATGTGCAATTCTTTAAATGCAGATCTGCACCGTGTTAATATTAAACTCAATCCCGCCTGCAGCTGTGGCCATCCTGTTGAAGATAGTAATCACTATTTTGTCGAGTGCCCTTTTCACAACGAAGCATGAGAAATATTGTTTTTTTTTAAATATAAGAAAGATATGCTATATCAATGGACATTCTGTTGGCTGGTGACGGTGACCTTTCATTTCAGCAAAACAAAGAAATTTTTGAGTCTGTACAATCTGATATCAGAATTACACAAAGATTTAGAACATTCAATTAAAATTCTGAATTCCTACTTTCTCACACTTCACTCCAGTCCAGTTTTATATAACATTCCATATTATATTGTTTTTTTGGTTTGTATTACATGCATTCCTACTATGTTTTTCATCATTATCTTATGTATTTTGTGTTTATATTTGTATAGGGAGAGGACTTCACTAATGTTTTTATAACTTGTGTCCAATCCATTTTGCTACTTCGCAAATAAAATATGTTTTAACTTTAACTAAACCTGTTACCGCGTATGTACCCGTTTCCGCGCTCGACTGATACCCTGATACTTATTCGCTACTTATACGTTGCTTCTTTTTAATGATTTATTTTCTGTTATTTTCTTGTCTCTGGTGTTAGTTATGGGTTCGTAAAGGTAAAATTATCCTGTTGGCGCGTATATCCCCGTCTCCGCGCTCGCCTGATATCCTGTTACTTATTATCTACTTATTCGTTCCTAGTTCGTTTTTTAAACTTTGCCACTTTTAATGATTCATTTTCTGTTAATTTCTTGTCCCTTGTGTTAGTTATGGGTTCGTAGAGGTAAAACTATCCTGTTCGTGCGTATGTCCCCATCTCCGCGCTAAACTGGTACCCTGTTTCTTATTCGTTCCTTAATCGTGTTTTTCACGTTGCCCATTTTAAGTGATTTCTTTGTTTTTTCTTTTCATATCTCGGCTGATTGTTCTGTGCTCGAATAGTTGACACAACCCTATAAGCGCATATGTACAAGTTTCTGCACTCGACTGATACCCTGTAACTTATTTGCTACTTATTGGTTCCTTCGCTTTATATACGTTTCCAGTTTTTAATGGGTTTTTTTCTGTCATTTTCTTGTCTTTGGTGTTAGCTATGGGTTCGTAGAGTAGAAATATTCTGTTGGCGCCTATGTCCCCGTCGCTCGCCTGATACCCTGTTACGTGTTCGCTACCTATTCGTTCCTTTTTCGCTTTTTATACGTTGCTATTTTTTTATGCTTTCTTTTCATTTTGAGTCTGTGCTGTTAGTCCGGGGTTCGTGAAATTGAAATAACCCTGTTAGCGCATATATACCAATTTCTGCGCCCGAGTCCTACCCGGTTACTTATTCGCTAATTATTTGTTCTTTATTCACTATTTATATTTTGCCCATCTTTAATGATTTTTTCTATCTTATTGTCTTTAAAGACATTAAAAGGTGTCAACGTATCAAAAGCGAATAAGTAACGAATAAGTAAATAATCAATCTAGCGCGGAAACGAGTACATACGCACTAATAGGGTAATTTTACCTCCACCAACCAATGACTTACATCAGAGACAAGAAAATAAAATAAAAAGAATCATTAAAGTTGAGCAATATATAAAAAGTGAATAAGGAGCGAATAAGTAACAGGGTATGAGTCGAGCGCAGAAACTGGTATATATGCGCTCCCAGGGTTAATTCAATTCTACGAACCCGGGACTAATACCACAGACTCGAAATGGAAAAAAAAACCAAAATCATGAGAAAGGAGCAACGTGCAAAAAACGAATAAGGAATAATTTTTAAAGTCTAGCTCATCGTGTATTTATACAATCATGGGTTTCAAATTTTAGTTTTGACCGTTCCTTGTAGAAGTAAATAAAGACATATTTCAGACGCATCATCATTATTAAGTGCTAATTTCAAACTACACAAATAAAGTCGTATATATAATGGTCTCTTGTTTATTGATGCTTGATTTAACTATTTGGATTCTACTACAATATTCTGTTGCGACAGATATGTTTTTAACTAGAGATAGTTAACCTTTCAAAATTTAGAATTGTAAATATCAATATAAAAGGATAAAGTTGGATTCACATATATTTGAATACAGCATTTCCAAGTATTCTGGATATATTTAGCGGAAAATCACACAATAATATCCACCATATAATATCCATAATATCATTACAATTTTATTCTATCACGATACTAGTTGTGTACTTACTTACAATAGAACATATAAAAAAAATCAAGCGATTAGCGAAACTTCTGTGCAAACATAAAATGCATACACATACAACTCATTTGTGACAATTATTTAAATGAATTTATTTAGTTCAAAGGATTGATATACTTTGCACAGATGTGTCATAACTGCTTTATAAGATGCAGATGTCTTTTTGTAAACTTATATTGTTGTACACCGGTTCCCATTTTTATTTCTCTACATTGACATGTCGCATTCTCGATACTAGTTGTGTATCTATCAAACACATGGTTTGAATAGAACATATAGAAAATCTATCGATTAGCGAAACTTCTGAGCAAACATAAAATGCATAAACGACTCATGTATTACAATTATTTAAATGCATTTATTTAGTTCAAAGGATTGATATACTTTGCACAGATGTGTCAATGTAGAGAAATAAAAATCGGAACCGGTGTACAACAAAATAAGTTTACAAAAACACATCTGTATCTTATAATGCAGTTATGATACATGTTATAATATCCAACGATTCTTTGTTGTTAATCAAATCCCCGCTTGGTTGTAGTTCACGAGTTGTCTTTGCATCATGGTTTATTGCACAAATAGTAAGAGAATTATTGTTCTAATATTTTGCTGATGATTAAAAGATTTAGCTCTAGTATATTAGACTATTATATGAATAAGTGAATATATTGAAACATTAACGTTTTACAACGACCATACTTTGTTTTTAGAGATTCACATATATATTTGCCCTCTTATAAACGTCTATGGTGATTAATGAGTTTTTGTAGGGAATTAAAACTTTTGCTTTACCAAGGTTTAGAAAGACGGAGTATATCACTATACCACTGTTAAACTCATAAGTCTTAACAATGCATTTCATTTAGGAATTGAACAATTTATTGACTTTTGAATACCTAACTGTCTGTGGTTTTCATACTGCAAGATAAAAGTAAGAAAACAGTGCATATAAAAATTGCTGGATCTATTGTTTTTAATTATAAACATCATAAAGTTTTTTCAGTGGTTGTCAAAGAAAGTACTCTTCCATTGTCTGCCTATCTGATTAATTTTATGCAAGGGACAGCGTACTTGCGTGAGGTTTGATATTGTTCATATGAAAATGTTATGTTGAATTATAATAAAATACTTTGATGTCAATGACTTAAGAGTAACCACGTCAATGACTTACTAAACAGCACAGTTCAGATAATAAACTAGTATATTAATATATTTGTTGAGTTACCTTTTAGATATTCTATGACATAATACCATTTTTCCTTTGTTGTTATGCTAACTAAATCCCCGCCTGGTTGTTGTTGACAAGTTTCCTTTGCATTATCCCAATAAGATTTATCAGCTTTTACAAGTTTTATACATGTGGTCGTGTTCATGTCATACTTATATCCCTCTGCACTGCACGCAGCTATTGAATAATAAAAATTGTATATATTCTCTGTTTGATATATTCACAACTATTCCTTGTTCTATGCGATTTAAACGTATTGTATAGATGCTGGTCTATTGTTGAAGAAGTATGTTAACTTCAAGAGTCTATAGGCTTTTTTGTTTATATATGTCGTTGGGTTTCTGTCTCATTTCAGTTTCGCAAATTTTTCTTCATTTATATGTGAAATTTTTAGCAACATGTCAATTTAAAGAAATAAAAATGGCAACCGGTATACAACAAAACAAATTTACAAAAACGACATCTGCAACTTATAATGCAGTTATGAAACACCTGTACAAAGAATCCCAATCCTTTGAAGTCAATATTTCATTTTTATAATTGTCATTGATGAGTCATTTCTGCAATTAAGGTTTGCTCAAAAGTTTCGCTAATCAATAGAACCGTTTTGTTTTATATGTCCCAATAAAAGAATGTGTTTGGTGGATACACTGTACTTAACCAGAGATCATTTAGTATTGGTGTACGTTTCGTCATTTCGAAAGGAACGATTATACAAATTATATACTGTGTAGTTATTTAACGAATGTTCTTTTTACTACGATATTATGAGGTGTACATGTTGAGCAATTACGAACGAATGAAACTCGTTAAATCTCATCGTTATTACAATGACCTTTAGAACCGTGAATAGAGCCGTGACCGTTAGAACTGTGAATAGAACCATGACCGTTAGATCCGTGAATAGAACCATGACCGTTAGAACCGTGCCCGTTGAAGCGTGAATGGAACCATGACCGTTAGAACCGTGCCCGTTAGAACTGTGAATAGAACCATGACCGTTAGAACCGTGACCGTTAGAACCGTGACCGTTAGAACCATGACCGTTAGAACCGTGACCGTTAGAACCATGATCTTTAGAACCGTGAATAGAACCATGATCGTTAGAACCGTGACCGTAAGAACCGTGAATAGAACCATGACCGTTTGAACCGTGAATAGAACCATGACCGTTAGAACCGTGACAGTAAGAACGACTGATGTATGGTAAATTCTATTGATGATAATTTCAAACCTATACTGTTTGTAGTTGGTATAAACCTCTAGGCTCTGTCAAAGTATTAAGTTCATCATAAGAATACACCCTTTTTGATGGGGTAATAGAATATTTTATCCAATACACCTTATTGCTATTTATCCGCCATTACTGGGTATCATTTTATGTTTGTTGCATATTTACACCATTTTACCTTTGGCCTATGTTAATAATAATTTACCTTTCGTGGTGCAATTAAACAATACTTTCCAATGCCCAGGACTTTTGCAGACGGCGAACGGTTTTCCCTCCATGTTATATCCATTGTTACATTTATATTTGTTTCCAGTATCTAGATTCCGTCGCAGTCCGAACGGCTCTTGGAGTTCAGCATGTGGTGTATTGGGTAAACCTTTACAATCTGCAGTATTGAATATAGATAAAAGGAGGTGTGATGTATACATCAATTTGACTGCAAACAAACACCACAAAGAACATGATGATGGTGGATGGTTGTTTTACGTCAAGCGGCAAATTTAATGCATACAAAAAAATATTAAAGAGATATGAATATGAACTATTACTTGTACAATACCGACTCCCTGAGCCTATTTTTTTCACAGAAGACAAATCACCCTACCCGGACATACTACTCTGACTCCGAATCGATAAGTCTTTGATCTTATTCCTTAATTCCGCGTGCTAAGCGGAGCAGCAAAAGTATTTGGTTTGATACGGTCAGGGATGGATTACCTATTGAAAAATGATAACCTCTGGAGTCAAAAGTAATAATAATAATAATAATAATAATAATAATAATAATAATAATAATAATAATAATAATAATAAATTCTTTATTTAAAGAGGATAAACACAGTTAGTTACAATTACTAATCTTCCCTGAGGCCATCATATACAATACAAGTAAAAAAATAATAAAAGAAAAAAAACACAAACAAACAAACATACAACATATTAACACAATCGTATAGTCATGATAGTTCAATGTACATGTACCATTAGAACATATAAAACAGTTACAGATTGCATGTAGTAAATAGATATTATATACAAATCAAAATCATACATTCTAAAAAAGTAATAGTTGCAATCATTTCAAGACTGAATATTGAGACTGCCTCAAGTATCGTTTTATAATTTGTTTAAAAGAAAAAGTGTTTTGCACTTTACGCATTTCATATGGTAGTCCGTTCCATAAAACTGATCCAAAATAAGCAAAAGATTTTTTATAAACAGTTCAGTTTTTGGCTAAGGAATTATCAAATTACCTTGAGTAACACCACTTTAAAAAGCATAAGGATTATTAACAGATATAAGTTGAAGTAGGTACTGTGGTGCTTCTTTCCGCATACATTTATAAAGCAGTAAATATTTATAGTATTTGATTCTGTTTTCTACTGTCATCCATCCAAGTTCTTTAAATAAGGGGGTAGATGGGGATAAAGGGTCTGCATCAAGAATTAATCTTGCTGCTCTTTTTTGAAGTTTTAATATTCTTATTATCCCTTCATTTTTACATTCTCCCAAAACAATACAGCAGTAATCGATGAGCGGCAGAATATACCCATTATAATATGCTATCCTGGCATTAATATCTAAAAGTTTCTTTAATTTAGAAAGAAGGTATATTCTTGATGAAATGTTAGCACAAATTTGATCAATTTGATTTGTCCAGCTAAGTGTGCTGTCAATTTTAATACATAATAATTTTGCACATGATGAATTTTGTAGTGTTTCTGAATTTATTTGTAAAGTTGGTTGAAACGATTGAGTTGATAACTTCTGACTTGTTCCAGTAACTAAACATTTTGTTTTTTTATTTTTAGTATTGATGAACATATTATTCATTTTGCACCATTCTTCAACTCTGCATAAATTCTCTTGTACATCATCATGTAAATTTTCTATGTTTTTCCCGGATTTATGAAGACTAGTATCATCTGCATACAAGTCTGTTTTACAATTTTTAATGCAAAGGGGAAGGTCATTTATAAATAAGACAAATAATAGAGGACCTAGTATAGATCCTTGGGGAACACCAAATTTCACATCTTTTTTTATCAGAATTAATATTGCAAATGTTTACTTGCTGTGTTCTATTACTTAGGTATGACCTGAAAAACCTACTGCAGACTCACTGAATCCATAAATAGCAAGATTTAAGCAAAGAATGTCATGACCTACAAGATCAAATGCTTTTTTGAAGTCCAACAGTATTGCTAGGTTTAAATTACCATCATTCATTTCTTGCAGCCATTTGTCTATGATATCAATAAATGCAGTTTGACAATAATGATGTGGCCTGAAACCTGATGTAAAAGTTTAAATTTAGACAAGTACTTCTACATGTTATTTGAGACACGCCTTTCTAATACTTTTGATAGAGATGGAAGAACAGATATGGGTCTGTAATTTGTTGCTAAAACCTTGTCACCATCTTTGTAAATTGGTGTTACGTTAGCGTTTTTCAGTAGGAAGGATATATACCAGTATGTATCATTCTGTTGAATATATATGTGAGAGGAGATGCAATATATGGGGCACTTATTTTAAGGATTTGGGGTCCAATATTATCAGTTCCCTGTGATTTATTTACATCAAGTTTGGTTAACTCATCAGATAGCTCATTTATCTTTATTGGTGGTATGGTAAATTTCTCATGTTTTTGTTGATTTAATTGATTTTTAATGAATGTGCTAAGATTATTGAAATCTGCCTTGTCAACAGATGTAATGTCTCTTTGCTCTCTTAGTTTTCCAGCACAGGAAGTAAAAAAGTTATTAAAGGCATCTGCAATATTTTTTTATTATTTGTTGTTGTATTGTTCTCATCTGTAATTAACTCATGTGAGGATTGTTTTACCTTAGGGTTCAGACTATGAAGGCATTTCCATAAAGATTTTGCGTCAGGAGAGTCTTTTACCATGTTTTAATAATAATTCTTTCTTGAGTTTTCTATTATTTGTTTAGTTTTATTTCTCCAAAATCTATATTCACTCCACAATCCAAGTGCATTATATTTATCCCTCATGTTCCTAGCATACATAATTTCACTATTATACCAATCAGGTTGCCTATCCTTTTTAACTCTCTTTTCAACAACAGGAGCATGTTTATCTAAAACTTTGTTCAACATATCATAAAATAAATGGAGACAGATAAAAGGATTGTCTTCAAATTCAATTTTATAAAAAGGTGTACTATGTATGTCTAATAGAAATTCATTTTGGTCAAATTTTTGGAAATTCCTTTATGTGATTGTACTGTGTGTATTCTTTTTGTCTTTGTTACCTTCTTTCCTTGTTAAACAAATAGGATAATGGTCACTAATTGCATATTTACAGACATGTGATTCATGTACCTTATCTAAATAACAGACATAGATATGATCAATAAATGTACTAGAATCCTTTGTGACCCTTGTAGCATCTACAATCAATTGTTGAAGATTGAATGATTCTAAAGCACTCAGCCATTTTTGAGGAGGTTTGCTTGGTGCTTAAAAATTCATATTAAAATCACCCAATAATATTATATCTGAATTAATGGTCACTGCCATTCCTAGTTCTTTTTCAAAATCATCAATCCAGTCTATTGTTGACTTTGGAGGTCTGTACACAAAACATAGTAAAATGATTTTTTATAATCTGGTTTTACTTCAAACCACATTGTTTCAAGACCTCCTATTTCAATGTTGTTTTGTCTTGAAAATTTAATTTTTTCAGAAAAATAAACAATCAAACCACTCCCACCCTGGGAAGTTCTGTCTTTTCTTTCAGATAAATAACCAGGTATTTCTAATCCATTATCTGTAGTGTTTTTAGTAACAAATGTTTCACACATTCCCACTACATCAGACAAGTCGGTAAAATGAAAATAGTTTATTGAATAAAGAGAAAGAATGGGTAAAATGTTTGGTTTATTCTTCCAAGCTCCTTTATATTTGATAGATAAAATGAATTGAAATTAGCATAGATAAAGTACTTAGAATAGAAATCAGAAATTTTATAACTATTTACAAAAATGCATCGTGACTGCGTAGACAAGCTCAAATATAAATTTACGTACCTACTTCACGGTGATTTCCTTACTTTAATAGAATAATTAGAATATGTTACTAACACTATATTAATGAATATTGTTTTGAACATATATTGATATTTAACTATCTTTACTATTAATTTTCCCATACTTATTTGATGAACAAAAGCGGTAGAAGGGTTGGAGCGCAAAGAGCTTGGAGTAATCATCTATATAACGCAGTTTCTTGCAAGTGGAATAATACCTTGAAAATAGTTATAACATATTGCAATCCCTACTACTTATCGTTTGTCAGTTTTTATAAAGTAGATTAATCTAATATTAATTATATTTGAATTATATGTGCACTATCTACTCATGCGCATGAAAACTCGCAAAACTCATATGGAAGGTAAAATTTTGAGGACGCTCTAAAGAAAGTTTTTTTTATATTTTATTGATCATTTATGACCTAACGGTATTCTTTGTTTTTGTTCCTGTTTTATTCTTCAAGAAATCAGTCAAATTCTAAATTCTCTCAACAGACCGTAGTCTTCTCGATCAATGGACGGTTCTCCCATGTTACTTAATGTAAACACCGATTAACGGACTGAGTAATCGATAAACCGAATGACGCGCTTGCATCAGTTTTAACCTATTCATCATTGACATTTTAGAACAATCAGTCATACGAATTAAATTAATTTGCAATTTTAAATCGAAGTTATACGGATATGATGCAAATGATAGATAGGATAATCTCCATTGGTTTAATATAAGATCAAAATCATTTACTTGCACAAAATTTAAATGATATATATTATATCAGGCTGAATAATTTATTAAAAAGCGCAATGATATTCCTGATTCGTAGGCGAAGTTCAATGGGCTGACTTGCGTATCTCATTTCCAATTACGATAACGAAAAAAAAACCTCCACGGTATTAATCGCGGATGTTACAAATATGTGTGTTTAAATGACTACTTTGAAAATATTAATAATGAAAAAGAAGATAAACTTATTGAAAGTCTGGGTCGTTAAACATTCCCGTAGTTGTACTTTGGTCGGTTAAGCTTACTTTACTTTGCATGGTTGCAGCGATAGGTCTTCAAATTGTATTTTGAAAAGGCTTTTCAAATGTTATAGCTTGTGTTATTCACTTTCAGATATATTGATGATGTTCTTTCCATTAACAATCCGAACTTTTCTGATTGGGTTCCATTAATATATCCACCAGAGAACTAGAAATTAAAGAAACAACAGACACGGCTTCCCCCGCCTCATTTTTAGACTTATACCTCGAATTTGACATACACAGTCATCTCAGTACCAGAATCGATGACAAACGAGACGATTTTAATTTTGAAATTATCAATTTTCCCCACCTTAGTAGCAATATACCAACTTCACCTGCATATGGGATATACATTTCCCAACTTATTCGGTATTCAAGAGCTTGCAGCTCCTACTCAGACTTTGTAAAACGTCATCAGTGTCTGAGCAGAAAGTTGATGAACCAGGGGTATGTCAAAGAACGTCTTGTCCTTTTTCTAAAAAAAGTTAATAGGAAGGTACCAAGAACTTGTTGATAAATATTCTGTATCAACTTCACAAATAATACACGATGGTCTTGAAGTATAGATTTTGCGTACTGACGTTGTTTATCATCTTAATAACGTGTTATAGTATTCTTTTATTTGTCTTTTTTAATTTTACTTTTACTGTTAAGTCTGTTTTTTGAGATATCCATTTGACGTGACTCTGTGCTTATGTATCCCGTCATACTTTGAACGACAAAATTATTTTATTTATTAATATTACTTTTATTGTTAAGTCTGTTTTTTGTGATATACATTTGACGTGACCCTGTATTTATGTATCTCTTCATACTTTGAACGACAAAATTATTTTATGTCTACCTGTGCGAATTTCAAACGCGCGATTTTACGCCAGTACTTAAAACCTTCCATCCTTTATGGGTGGATTTTACATAGATAAATAAAATCGTATAATATAAGCTAAATGAGGATGTTAAATTTGATGAATGCCTTTTTGTGCTTCTTCGTTACATTTGTTTGTTTTTATAGTGATTAAGATGATAACACAATGTTGACTGCTGTAACCCTTTTTTTTGACATTTTTACCTTTTGTGTCTGTTTGTTTTGTTCACGCATCGTTGTCAATATAATGGAATTTGATGCAACTGTCATACGAGTGAGAGGTTTAGCTAGCTATAAAACCAGGTTTAATCCACCATTTTCTACATAAGAAAATGCCTGTACCAAGTCAGGAATATGACAGTTGTTATCCATTCGTTTGATGTGTTTGAGCTCTTGATTTTGCCATTTGATTATGACTTATATCTAGAAATTGATTATGAGGGTCGGTTGAAAACAAAACTTTACGACAAAAGAGATGATTTCAGATTACCAATTGTGTGAATTTTCATTTTTAAACCAAGAGTTCCAAATGGTGAAGTTGAAATCATCACTTTGTAAATTTTACGGACGCCATCACGAGTTGGTTGACCGTTATGGAATATCCGTTTCACAGATGCTATCGGATATATTTCTTATGTCTTAACTACAATCCCGTTCCTTTTTCACGAATCTGACCTACCGAATTAGACTATTTACCCCTATTTGTGACATTTTTACCTATTGTTTTTGTTTGTTTTGTTCACACATCGTTGTCAATATAATGGAATTTGATGCGACTGTCATACAAGTGAGAGGTTTAGCTAGCTTTAAAACCAGGTTCAATCCACCATTTTCTACATAAGAAAATGCCTGTACCAAGTCAGGAATATGACAGTTGTTATCTATTCGTTTGATGTGTTTGAACTTTTGGTTTTGCCATTCGATTGGGGACTTTCCTTTTTGAATTTTCCTCGGAGTTCAGTATTTTTGTGATTTTACCTTTTGCCTTGTGGTATAGGGTTTGCTCATTGGAATATCATAGTTGATAAATTCCACTCCGCATTTTCTTATGTTTATATTTAAATTAAATGATGATAGCAACGACTACAAAACTGCGACTACTATCCAACACCTATGCCACATTTTCTAATCAAGTGGTTTTTTTTAAATCACATCTTACAGAAAGAATACCGCCTTGTGGTTTTGGCGGGCAACCTTGCAATCTGACGTTTCTATTAAAAGGACTTGTGACCTTTAGAAATGGTCATCGTCGAGTATCATATCAGTTCAGAACTGTATAGTTTGGTAAGAAGTGACCTGGTATCCTAGGGCAATTGTTTTAACGTGACTTAAGTAAGGGGTACCCTACTGGGGTCCCAAATATGGTATGAAATTGTCCAATGATATAAAACAAAAAACAAAAAAACAAAGGCAGAAAAAAAGACATATCAAAAGGAAACATCGAACAGAGTGCAGAGATTTGTTGTTACTCTTACCTATTGATATATTTGATGAGTTTTACATGTGTTACAAGAATATTCTACATTTAGGCGTTTTGAAAAATGCATGAATTTTCAGGCAATTTATCAAATGCTTAACCTTGAAAGGCATTAAATGAAATGACAAAAAATACCTAGTCTTTTTGTAAAATAATTGTTAACACAATTCAACAAATTGCCTTTTTAGTTTCCGGTCATTTGCAGAAAAATTATTAATCAGATACATGAACACAAAAGCAATATCGTGCAAAGAAATAATATTAATGGTTCATTAAAATTAAGTTCATTGTTTAAAAACCCGAAGGGAAAGTTTTTCTTACTATAATTAGAACTTTACAGTGAAACTACGTCATGTATGTACTCACTCCTTATTTCAGAGCGTCATTTTATGATGTTCTTTTAATGATCGCAGCAGGAAAAAAGTTTTTTTTACAATAGAACAAAAATTTACAAACAAAAAAGAAAATCTACAAACAATACAGAAGTTTGTGATATAGAGCAGAGAAAAATATGAAAATAGTTTGATTGACTGATTGTTGGATGTTTAGTGGCAATTATATCATGCATATTCATGATGAGAACAAACTGATAATAAAGACAATATGTAAGTTTTGCAATTATGAATTGACGTGGATGAAGGACGAGAATTTCGTCTATGGCTAGAAATGCGGGTTTGTTTGTTTAAGAACAGAAATGTGCCTTTCAACAGGCTACCTACAAACCCGTTAAAGAGTTCTTAATGTTCAGAGTGTGTGGAATGTATACATTCCGTAGAGTAAACGAATTCTCCTCTGAAGCATTCGCTTTACTAGCGGTTTATTCTATATTTATATAACCCAGTCAGCCCTGAGAAGGGAAAATATTTTGAAAAATTTCACAGGTATTAATAGATCATGATACAAGGCAGTGTTTGCATAGGTTGTAATGAAAAGATATGATTATCTTTTTATTCACTGCCGAAATAGATTGTTGAGTCTTTACAACCTGACGAAGATATGCTAGGACCTCTAGAACACTCTGATAAGCCAAAAGATGTAAGTCAACTTAATCATGCTTATAGTTATTTGGGATCAGAGGTAATAAAAAAAGAGACTCCTTTGTGTGCTGTTTTCGACTATCCATTTTTCGAGTTTTGGGTGTTTTAGCACGTATGTCTTAATTTTCAGTTCCCATGAAACATGTTCTCATTTGATAGAAGTTATCCATGAACTGAAGTGAATATTTCAATTTCATCATCTTATTTCATCATCAAATATATAATTAAGATGCACGTGCAGTTATATAATAAAAATAAAAAGACCAGAGAAAGGAAACTGAAATATTGTGATAGTATTGGTAACTTCTTGTAGAAAATGTAGAGATGCCCGTAACTGTGTAAAACGCGCGTAACTTTATGGTGTGACCAATTTTTTTATGTATATTCTAAACGGGAATAAGTATACAATATGTATACGCTAGTGGAATCTGAAAACTCGATGGACCTTTGGAAGGGCTTATTTCCACTGACAAATTAGAAAAAGTAGAAGAAATTAAAATTCTGCATTATAACAGTTTACATATGGACCATTCTGAAAAGTTGTTGGCATGGTTCATTGAGAGTATGACATTTTTACAATATTGCTATCGATTAACGTTCTATTACAGATCAAATGTTGAAAGTACAGTATAGTTCCTTTATTTTGTCGAAACTTAAATAAGCTCAAACAATGTTTAACAAATAATTAAGCGCAGTTCTTTTCCCGTCACTTAAAATAAAAGAATATTTTCTATATAATTTCCGTTTACACAGAAATAAAAAAAAAGTTGATATCTTTTGAAGATCTTTAAAAACAATGATTTGTTTTTACATTGTTCAAAACAATCCATTACAAAATAAGATATCAGCTTATTAAATGAAAGCACTTGTCAGAAATGATCTCTGTTAAATCATTAAAGTTATTATCCTGAAAAAAGTAAAATAACAAAAATACCGAGCTCTAAGGAAAATTCGAAACGAAATGTCCTTTATCAAGCGGCTGAAGACTTTGCATTGTAAATATATCATTTCCAACGGATAAGACGTATTCAAGTACCGTCTGGTTGCTGTCCTATTTATGCAGTTCCCACTTTACTTTTATCAATATTACCAGTAAAATACTGATTGCAAATAAATAATAAGAATAAAACTTACATGCTTCAACGCATTTAAATCTATTGTTATTGGCATTGATTTTGCACTTTTGCCCTTCTTCGCAGTTGTGGTATGCACATTTTCCTGCCAATGACTGAAACTGATTACAAATAAATCATCATATTAATGCAGCATTGGCATCATACATTTTTGCATTGTTGGAATAAAGAAAATAAATAAAATTGCCTTAAAAAGTTACAATTTGTAAAGGCACAATCAACGTTAATGAAACAAACACCGCAATAGAAAATTATCAGTCCAACACAAACGTCTCCTAGTTATACTTGCAATTCACAAATTTTATTGTTCATGGTAAATGCGAAATTTGAGGTAAATAATATTTTTTATTATAATAAAGTTGTATTTACATCTGATAAAAAAAACACTGAAAGTTTTTAAAAGAAAAATGATAATTATATAAAGTAATATAAAGATATATTAAGCATAGTTGCTTGAATAAAATTACTTCGTGTTTCAACATCAAGCAAAACTTGCATGTATTAAATCTTAAATCTCAAATATTTTGTATTCGATCGTCACTGAAGAGACAAACATTGTCGAAAATAAAGATATCCGAAGCAAATATACGTCAGACGCGCGTTTCGTCTACAAAAGACTCATCAGTGACGCTCGAATCAAAAAAGCTTAAAAGGTCAAATAAAAAACAAAGTTGAAGAGCATTGAGGAACTAGAATTCCAAAAGTTTTTGCCAAATACAGCTAAGATAATCTATTCCTGTGATAGAAAATCCTTTATTGTTTTAAAAACAATTCACAGTTTTGTTAACAGTTAATTTATAATTATGATCATGTCAATGATAATTCTTGTAAACTTGTAAACGAATGCGCCTATGGTGGAACAAAGTTGGTACCGTTTATGTTGGTATCAAATGCAATAGAAAAGAGACAATAACTTAAAGATTATATGATATAATTAGGAGTTTCTATAAGATATGATAAAGATAACGTGTGAAATACCTTTTCCCATGTTGTTATATTACTTTTGATACAGGTCGAGTCGTCGGCAATTTCGTTTCCAATGGCATTGGACATCACAAGGTCACATAATTTCCAATTTTGTCTGTAATTAATAGACGTGCAGTTTGACGTAATGAAACATTCCTTAGCACATTCAAGCAGTGATAGCTGGCGAAATCTAAGAAGTACTCCTGTCAAGGAACATTTACCCTTTTCGATCTTACCGACTCCAGGAAGATTTGGTTTTTTGCACGTGTCATCATCAGCCGAGCAAACGTCATTTATAGTCAAACAGTAAATTATTTCTGTGAACTGGATGAAAATAAATAATACTGAATGTTTTAAATGCATCCTCATTTATCAACTCTTCTTAACTTTTCCGTCAAACGAAAGAAATTATTTTTTTGTATGCATTACCTTTTGATAACAGAAACTATATATTCGTCTAAAGTTTACCAGAAAACGGATGACTTGCTTTCGTTTCAAATCTTCAAATCACTTATTGGAAATATTATTAATGTTAAATATTTATCATGTTTAAAGTTTTCAATGGTTTCAATGACGCCGACCATAGCAACACTGGAAACGTTTAATTACGTTCCAGGTAATATCTCAATGCTAATGCCAATCATCTCTTATATTATATTTATAATTTCGATAATTATTTGATGCGTAAACGAAGTGTTATGAAATAAGCAATATTAGATAATATTGATGCTAAATACATTTATTACATTGGTTGCAATGAATTACATTGATTTCCCAGTGAAATAAAAACCGATAATTTCACATGTGAAATAAACGTGGTTATTTCACTCCTCTGACGTCATACAACAATAGGCGTTGTCAAGACGTCGATAACGTCGGATCAAAACAAATTGTGAATGCGTAGAAAAAGATATAGTTCCTTACATTTTCTACTTTAATTTCATAAAAAAAAGCATTTGCCAATGTAATAAAAAGAATAACTAATCAAAGAATTCAAATATCGAAAAATATTCAACTCGTGACCGAACAACACTGATAATTAACTCATGCGCTACGCGCATTCGTGAATTAATGTGTTGTTCGGTCACTCTTTGAATATTTTTCTCTATTTGAATTCTTCGATTAGTTATTCTATAATTATTTTGAAGGTAACATAAATTCTTTAGCAAAAAAGTATATAAAAATACCGAACTCCAATGTAACATCAATAGGGGAAAGCCATAAAACCTGACAAAATGAAACGTTCTCAAGCAAAGGAACAATCGAAAAAATCTGTAATATTCCTGACTTGGAACAGGCATCTTCCAAATAAGATAGTGGGTTAAGTTTGGTTTTATAGTTAGTTAAACCTCCCACTTGTATGAGGTATACTATTGGGGTATATACAATAATATGCTAGGTAAACAAATATATACACTAATATGCTAGATAAACAAAATGTATCACAATATATTATTTATTTGTCATTATGTCTTTGTTAATATTGATACGTTCTAATCAAAATGGGAAAACAAATTCAAATAATATAAAAATTATTACTATGATATAGCATTCATACCAGTAGGAATATTTCATTGTGTATGTTTTTTCATCAGTACAAATGTTCCATGTGTAGTGCTTGCGTCTTTTAAATGTTAAAACAAAAGGAATTCTTATATAAAAAACTACAAAATCTAATGAACTTATCTATATTTGTTTTTTTTTTAAATAAGTGTATAATAACTCGCAAAAACAGAAAGAAAATATTCAGAATGAATTCAAACAGAAAAAACGAATAAAAAGTAAATAATTAACGAGGTGCAACCCATTATCTTGTTCGTCATCGATTTGAAATTTAGAAACCTTTAACTTTTCAATATAATCTACACAATTCAAGATAAACGTAATTTGGGCATGAAAATGGGATATGATTTGTAGTTTACCAAACAAAAAGTTGCTATCTAGGTTTCGAAAATGACACAAATCAGGTTCTTAAAACATGTTGTGAAAACAATGAACAAAAACCAGTTGCTTTCTTAGATAAAAAATAATGCAATCGGCTGTTTGATCTGAAAGATTAGATAACTGATATATTAAGATGCATGATTTTACCTCATTTTTTTATATATAAGATGGAGCAAACTGACGTGGATTCTTAATGTAGCTGCTGTTAAATGTGGGCCACAATTCTTGTTATAAAATATCACATTCGGAATATAACATTACATCATGCAAAATTAAAACAACCAATGGATGTTCAAATCTGAGGTGCTGTTTTAGTATTGAGATACCCTTTCCTGGCTAAAGTCGAACTGTAAAGTATGAAAACAATGTTTGTAACCAGTTTAAAAACGGTTTATAACCCTTAACTGTATGTTTAATTCATTGTAATTTTAATTCATTTTGTAAATCAACTAAAAGATAGTGAAGATGTTGGAATTTATAGGAATTTGTGACAAACAGAATGAAGCCGGAATAGCAGGGCAAATACAATAAAGCTCATGTCCAGCACGTTTATTTAAAGGTTTTGCGATCTTCTGTCCGCTGAATCAGCATAAACATTTTCAGAAAAGTAATTTGTTACTTAGTTGTTCTCTTTTTGCTTATGCATACAACGTTTTTGTATCCATCTATTTGTTTCAAAATCATAGTTTCGCTAACACGCAATAGACTATGCATCTATCAACAACTGAACCCTCTACATTCGCTTATGATTGCAGATTAACACGACGCCTTGAAAACGAATCGACGGAATTCCAGGAAACGTACACTGGTTTTTCTTGATGTTGGACATGGACTTGTACATGTGCGTCTGCTATTTCAACTTTTTATGTGAGTTATTTGTATGCTGTTTTACAGATAAAAAACAAAAGAAATAAGTTTGGAAATTATAACGTTATTTTTTGGAGACGGTATTCGACTCACGTCACCTTTTTTGAAAACTCACACATTATTCTGAAAAAATAAAAAAATCCATATCTACTTTCATAACAGAATAAAGAAAAGATAATACTAATCTGCATAAAACAGTAGCCAATTGCTAATCTGAACTCAGAAACCACATGCCGGTAGTCATTTTATAATATTTGCAACGCCAAGCATTGGGGCATATTTCAAACCTCAAACACTTTCATTTCGTTTACTATCAGTTTTAAATAAATGAAATTATCTACAACTCGGTCTCTGTGAATTGTTATAGTATCTACAGAATTATATGTATGACTCAAGCGCATATTTAATGATCAAATGTTTCGATATGACATATAAAGTCTGCATTTTACTCAAAGGTGCCTTCAAATTTCGTCGAAACTTCCAGGCTTAAATGAGATCTATGAGACTATAAAACTAGGTTTAATCCTCCATTTTCTACATAAGGAAATGCCTGTATCTATTCAGGAATATATCAGTTGTTTTCCATCATTTGATGTGTTTTAGCTTTTGATTTTGCCATTTGATAAAGGACTTTCCGTTTTGAATTTTCCTTGGAGCTCGGTATTTTTGCTATTTTACTTTTTTATTATGTAAAAGTAAGTATTTTTGTTTTACTATATTTTCTTTTTATTTCTATTTTTATTCAGATAACGATTAAGGCTATATAGTATTTCATAGATGCTATTTTAATTTAGACACAAATAGTTGTTTCATTATAAAAAATTTTTTTTTTCTATACGAAATTCCATTTTTATTTAAATCTTTTGGCATCTTGCACTAACGTAGAAATTTTACTTTGCTCTTTTTGTTTACGCTAAAATGGCTTAGACTAGAAGACAGACGTTTATTTCGTGTTCTTTAGACTATACGTGTATAAAAAAAACTCTCCTTTTTTTCTGCTTTACAAAACGTATAATATGGATTTTATATTATGATTCATCTTGAATATATATGTACGTAGGCTTCAAGTCCATTTTACTACCGACTTACCAAATAATAGGTTTTGGTATTGTGGAAAAGCATTGGGATTGGCAGTTTTTCTAAAATGTGAATAAAAAATAAATGAAAAATCAACCCACATTTACATGGAATTAATTGAAAATTGTACACAATTTTATGAAAAGTCTTCCTCCTTTACTCATAAAAAAGCAACAAAAGTCCAAATCACCTCTAATTCATTGATAATACCTTGCATTTTTTTACGCCAGTATTTAAACGTGATCGACGCACTTCCATCAACTTTGGTTCATAAGCAGGATCACACGTTCGCAATATCAAAATCTCTCATAACCATATCACCATACAACGTGCAATCAATGCTGAATTTTACTCTGAAATTATAATTTGATACGAGTTTCTATCCGCATATGTTTTGATTTTGCATCCTCAACGTCCAGTTGCAATTATTGGTTTTTTTTTCTATTTAGGACGGGAGGTAACAATTAACACAATAGGTAGATATAGGTTCTGTAAGGTGTGCCAACTTGGATGAAGGACCGCAAATTTTGACTCATTTTATGATCATTTTGTAAGGCTTGAGTTCTTTTATTTTTGTTTTCCAATTTTAGGTATCAAATATTGTCTCTTATCATAACTCCTTCTTTGTTGGTGGAGTCAACATTCATCTATAGGAGTGAATAACCATGTGTCAGTCCATACATACTTTTTAAATATATGCAATAAAAGAAAATGTGGGTATGCAGCAATACAAAGGATATCTAACAACACTCTGAACCTCTAAAATGGATATTTCAATGTCATCAAAAGGTCCTTAGAAATTGCGTCGTGTCTATAATAAATGTACCTTAAGAAAGCTTTGTACAAATCCAACAAAGACTAAAAAATAAACGTCTTTCAACAGTTTGGTACCTTGCGAGCAGTCAATCCCGATGAAACTCTTGTCATAATTGACCACTAGTTAAATTAGACTGTTTTATGTCGGTTAGTTTATGATTTAGAATAATGCATTATGCATTTGTCTTGAGGAATTAAAGTGATGCACAACATTCGCTATAGTTTCTAATGCTACTATTATCTTCGATTTGTCAGGCATACCGTAATTGACAGAAACAAGCGATTCGTAGTTTCAGAATGTAAATAATTCTAGGAAAATTATAAATACTAGTAGTATACATTAAATCGTTGTGATTGCTTTTTCGTTCCCGATACATCAGATCTCGTCCCGTTTGGAGTTCACGAGATTCCCTCAGTTTTTGTCTTATCTACATTTGAATATTTTTCACTAGAGGTATGGGGGAGGGTTGATATCTCACAAAACATGCATAACATGTTTAACCCGCTACATTTTTGCGCCTGTCCCAAGTCAGTAACCTCTGGCCTTTGTTACTCTTGTATGTTTTTAAAAATTTTGGTTCAATTTTAAGTTTCGGAGTTTAGTGTGACGTCCATTTCGCTGAACTAGTACACATTATTGTTTAGGATCCAGCCGATGGGTGCGGGATTTTCTCGCTGTGTTAAAGACCTATTGGTGGGTTGGGGCTGTTTTCTGTTCTTTGGTCGGATTGTGGTCTCTTTGACACATTCCCTGTTTCCATTTTCAATTTTGTTAATGGACTAATGAGAATCAATGATTCACTATTGTCTCTTT